AATATTTTCAATAGATGGATGTTCAAATGGACTTGTTATTATATGTTGAACTTTATTTAAATTAAATTTCAAAATTCCCTGAATAGCTAAATTATTTGATTCAGTTCCACCACTTGTAAATATAATTTCATTTTTATATGAAGCATTAATAGAATTTCTAACTTGTTCTCTTGCTTCATCAATTAAATCTCGAGCTTTAATTCCAATTAAATGTGAACTACTTGGATTACCAAATGAATTTGAACATTTTAAATGATTAATCATTGATTCAATAACTAATTTATCTTCACAAGTTGTTGCATTATTATCTAAATATATAATATGAGATATATCATTAGACTTATTATGTAAACCATTATCGATTGAAAAATATTCCATGTGCTTTTTATTGAATTCAATGTTTGTCGTTGTAGTATTAATAGTAATAATTGTGAAAATGACGCATATTTCTGTGCTTTTTCCTTTCCTTTCCTTTCATTTTCTTTTCTATCAGATGGACGATGACGTGGCAAAAATACGAATGAAGCTCATTAACATAAACTAGCTTCTTTTTTTCTCTCTCTCTAATTTGTAAAATATTCTGTACTTTTATAAATATTATTTAGGACAAAAAAAACGAAATATATTCTTAATATTAAAAAAAATACTTCATTAAGAAAAGGTCTAAGATTGTGATTTTGAAAATAATTCTTTTCCTTGATAAAATATTTCCATAAGAGAAATGAAAAGGAAATTTTTTCCTTGAGAATTATTTTAGATAAAACATTGCATTTTTCGGTTATGAATTATGAGATTTTTCGTCTAGTTTCTATTAATTGTTGACTATTTAAAGTATCGTTAATAAGAATATAAGATTGAAAAGAGAAAATGAAAATTCATGAAGAAAAAAAAAACACTTACTGATCAAAACATCGCTTGATATAATTTCGAGGTCGTCGAGAGAAACAAATAATAAAATTGAAAGATTAAAAGTAATCCAATTAAAAAATGTCTATGATTATTTTAATTTTAATAAAAGAAAATTTTTTATAAATTGATCTTCTATTATAAATTATGAAATAAAATAATCTATTGTTTATTGAACAATTATTCGAAATAAAAATAAATAAATGATTTAATTTATTTAAATGAAATAGAATAATTAATTAATATATTAATTAAAATGAATAATATTTGTAAAAATATTTATATGTATTAATAAATAAATTTTGATTTTATTTTTAATTTTGATCATTATTTTTTATTAAATTTACTTATTGTTTTAATAGTATTTCTTATTCATCATATATTTCTATTTTTTCATTTAAATTAAATTCTTTTTAATCATTTCGATCGAATAGAATTATCGTAATATTGATTTTAATTTTGTTTGTTTAATCTTCAATAAAACGTTTAAATAAACTAATATATTCATTATTATTAATCTACATCTAACTCTTCTATTTAAAAGATATTTATATTAAATAATATAGACTTTAATATATATTTTCAAATAATCTATAACAATCGGTTGAAACGAAATTATTTTCTATAATTGAAGCAACCATATGACTATGACTACTTTATAGAACAATGTTGATAATCTTTTCTAAAATATATTTGATAAACGAGTATTAATCTTCTTACAGTGGATTTTATTTTTTAAATTCACTAAAATTATCTATAGAAAATAATAATTATTTGAAAATGTTGAAAAATTTCCAAATTACTCAATTAATAATATGCTGATAGTGTGACGAAACGACTCACTCACGCCTGTTTTATTCAATGAGTGATCAAAAATATGCACCATAAACAAAGATAAGACAAGCATAGCATTAAAAAAAAAAGAGAAAAACAACTAGAAATGGGTAAAGTAAGCTTTTTTTTCCGAATCGAAATTTGATCAGAATCGGATCGATAATTTTTGAAATTATATCGAAATCTGCAGTAGGATTTTTTTTTTTTTTATATCTGAATTGCTCATCTATAAAAATGACAACGATAAAGTCAATACGGCATGAAGAAAAGAAAAAACAAAACAATTGAATATGCATACATACGTAAGGATGTGGCAGAACATCCTTGAACATCAACCATGAATTAGAACTATTTTACTTATTAAATTTCTTTTTTGTTCTTAATACAAATTATTTGCTGTTTGTGCCGAAGGTTTAATCAATTAAGTTTTTCTTCCGGAATTGTACACTTTTAATATCTATCATAGAAAAATATTTATTTATTAAGAAAATATTTGTATGTATAAAAAATGAAATGCGCTTGTTTATCTATATTAGACGAAGAAAAATTTGTATGATGCCTCTATATAAATATTTTTTGTGTCGAAATGCGTGTGAATCGCGTTTCATTTGCATCTAAATCGTAGCCATTGAACACGTCTAGACGCGACTTAGGTGAAATATTTCTTGTGTCCAGACGCGATTCGATATAAAATCTCATTCAGATGCGGTTAGACACAGTTTTAAATAAAATCGTGTCTAGACTCGTTCGACTCGACATTTGAAGTTAAAAAAGAATATTATAATCTTTATCAGGTTTGATCGAAGCCACCATTGATATTGTCTAATGACGGTCTTTTCTTGGCTATAGAAGAACGGAAAGTTGGAAAGTAGGGTGATTTGAAATAATAGAAATGATACTAGAACAATTTAACTAACAATTATAAATCAATGATACATATAAGAAAGTATATAAAGAAATCGTCGATTGGGACCTTATTTATAAATGCATATATCAATAAAATGCTTTCTGTCTATCGAAATACATTACTTGTCAAAAAAAAGGTATCAAATAAACTGTACATATAATTTTAAAAAACTTTTGTAATTTCTGCAATTTTTTTGTAAAAAAAAAATGAATTTTCGTTGATATTTTCTCTAAAACTATCGTTTTCAATTTTTCGATAGTAGTGATTTTTCAAAATTTATTATTTTTCTATTCTATTTCATTGAATACGTTATATATATTTATTCTTTTCTTCTTTTCATTGTGTAATAATAAAGATATTTGAAAATACTTTCAGCCATCATATTTGCTAACCAAAATAAACAAATTCATTAAAATATTTCTAAAAGTTCGAGAATTTAACTTAAGATTGGAGAATAAATAACAATAAATTCATGTTTGAGTTGAATTAGAACCTTCCAAAAATGAATCACTTTTATCAATAGAATGATGTTTTCATTGGATACCGAGAATTTTGCCAACACACCTTCCATGATTTCGTTATTGGCAAATGTCCTATTTGCCAAAGTCTTATTGACAAAATTCTGGAGCCTCACCAGTTTGTTCTTCGTTTTCTCGCACAGTATCATCGGGAAGAATAGAAGTAGACAAATTGAAAACAACACGATAACAAAGCTATTAATTAATTCATCTTTCCTCTACGCTTACTTTGGCCCGAACAAAAATCTGACCAAAACGTATCTCAGTTTGTCGAAGATCTGTTTTAAAAAATGTTATCTGATATTCTCAGTCGGATAAATTTTTCTTGTTTCTCTTCTCGTGATATATAATCATTCTCGAAGCAGAAAAAATTGGAAAAATTCCTTTTCTTCGTAATAAAGAACAACGTCAACATTATTTATAAAAATTGAAATTGACTTTCAATATAAATTATTTTAATCATCCACTGTCTTCTACGTCTTTCTTAATGAAAGTCATAAGTTATTATGGAGCATTTGCACGTCTTGAACAACTACTGCTACAAGTGGCTATTCAATCGAATATCTTCTCAAAATGATAAACTAAATTAGAGAAGCTTACACTAGGGGAACAAGGAAGAAAAAGACAAAAAAATGTGATGATAAGGAGAAGTTAAAGCGGCATGGAAAAACAATCAATAAAACTAATGATCGAAAGCAGACAACAATATAACAAAAATAAACTCGATACATCAAAAATATAATGATAAAAGACGTTAAAAGGTAAACGATGAATAAATTAAAGTTTTATCTTGAAAATAATGTAACTTGCTTCTCGAATAAGTTTACTCATAATCTTCTATTATGTGTCAAGTGTGCAAAGATTTCGAGGAGATCGTTTATTGCGTTTGACTTTTTCTTTGAAGTAATTATTAAATAAAAAAATATTTAAAAAAAGTAACGAAAGAAAATTGGAAAGATTCTTCTTAACTAAACAAACAAGATTTATCTTTCAAGTTCAGTCTACAATGATTTTTCAGGTTAAACTCGAAAAATGAAACAGATTTTATATAATATAAATAATTAAAAGTTTTGATTTTAGTCATAATTATTTAATTTCGAAAGGATCTTCAATTGTAGATGAATATTTAATGATGACGTTTGTTTTTTAAAATGTACAAAGTCTTTGTTTGACACTGATACGATAATGTTTTGATTTTTTCTCACCTTTGTTTCTTATCAAATCAAGGACTCTAATTGCACTGAAGATACTATATTTTTTCATAATTTTTATCTTCATTTTATTCATATATAAAAGATGTTAGATTTATATAAAAATTTCTAAATGAAAATATAGAATAAGAATTTCATCTTTAAACTTTTTCATAAAATCTAAAAAATAAAAATAGATGAGTTTGTAATTAGCAATCAAGTTTATTATCATGTGTTAATATATAGAGCGAAAATGAGTCGAAAGAGATAAGAGAACTGGTTTTTTATTTTTTTTATTTCTTTTTTTGTCGAGTAATATGTTGTGATAGTCTAGTATTTTTCGAAATATCTCAATGAAGAAATTCGTCTAAAGAATTTTTTATATTTTTATTTTTTATTTAAATGATAATGAATTTGTTTTGTTATATAGATAAAAATGGCTAATTTAAACAATAAAGAAAAAGAAAATTTACAAATAAATGTTAGTGAAGTTGTTCCTGTTATCGAAGATAGAAATGATGATCTATCAATATATCATAATGGAATATATTGGCGACTTCTATTTCTTAATTTGGTTATTTTATGGGCATATCAATCATTAATTTCTGCACAAAATTATTATATTAAATTTTATAAAAATGATCATTTAGATTTTTGGGGAACAGTATCAGCTGGTTCAGCTATGTTTTTTCTTCATATTATTCAATTATATTTTGGTGTTTATAAATATGGTTTTACAAAACGTGTTATACCTGGTTTTATTGGTTACATTATTATTGCTATTTTAGTTATGGCTTTTAAAAATAAAATTATTTTAATTATTGCTTTTGCAAGTGTTGGTGGAATAAATACAATAACTGAATCTCCTGTTTATGGTATTGCTGGATTATTTACAACTGGGGCATTTACTCAAGCTGTTCAAGTTGGTAATGGTATGGCTGGATTTTTAAATGTTACTGCAAATACAATAATTCGATTAATTGTTTTACTTGTTCATAGTAAAATCGATCAAGATCAATTATCATTTTATATATTTATGAGTGTATTAATAATATTATGTCTTATAGCTATTTATGTTTATTATCGTTTAATAAATATTCCTCCAGTTAATATAAGAATTACTCAACAAATGACTACATTTAAACAAGAAAAACTTGGAAATCTTGTTCAATTAAATTCTATTGAAAATCAACTTTCATTTTGGGAATTAAGTAAAATTTTAAAAATTAATTTATTTGTTCAATTTTATGTATTATTTATAACATTATTATTATGGCCAGGTATTCCATGTGGTGCAACAAATAATGGTTGGTTTAGTAAAGGTGGTGGAGCTTGGTGGTGTTCACCATTTATAATTGGAGCATATAATTTAGGAGATCTTATTGGTCGTACTCTTGCTATTAAAGTTCATAAATATTTTTCTTCAAATATTTGTTTAATTTTTTCAATTTTAAGAACATTATTTATATTAATTATATTTTATCGTCATAATATAAATAATGTATTTCTTCTTATATTAATTATATTTATGGGAATAACAAATGGTCTTATTGCAACAATTACTTTTATGGTTCGTCCTCAAACAATTGTTGGTGTTAATAATTGTGAAAGAGCTGCTTATTTAATGACAGCAGCTTTATATTTTGGAATTGCATCTGGATCTATTGTTGCAGCTACTTTATCATTAACTCATCTTGTTTAAATTAAATTATTTTTTTCTTTCACTATAATTATATTTATTTTATTATTAAAATTCATAAAACAATATTTATTTAAAAATTTCATATATCATTCAACCGATATTTTTGCCTCAAAATGTTCTTCCTATTCGAAAAAATAAAAACAAAAATCTCTTTTTTAGAAAAAAACCCGATAATTAACTGAATAGTTCGACATATAAGTGTCACACTTCTCATTTGTCAATATATCCTTATTAAAGAATGAAAATGCATGACAAACTAGGTTTTTATCATTTGTAAACTTATATTAACGTATTTATACGTTTTCTCTATCATATTATGTTAGACTGTAATACATTTCGGTTCGAACGAATGAAAGACGAATGTCACATTTCTCATATTCGAGATCAACTATTTATTGTTGATATAAGACAGCGGTCAGACCAAAACCAATTTTATTTCTAGCCATATCAGTGGAACCGAATAAAAATCCTTTATCTATAAATAATTTATCATATTGGAAAATTATTCTAAGAGAAATTAAGTAACCTTTGAAATTTATTTTTTTCTTTTTATTTATTTTGTTTCTCAATGATCAAATTCTTTTTAATTTACTCGGCTAACATTCCATCTAACTTAAACAAAATAAAACGTTTCCAAAAAACAAAAAAGGCGAGACAGAAAATACTTGCTGTTCTTTTCCATAATAATTGACAGTACAAATAAGTCTAGTGAAATATTCTAGTTTACCCGACTAAAAACAATATCTATTAAACTGACGCTGCGACAATGTCTAAACGTATTTTACTATTGAATAAAAATTATTTAGTATAAAGAAAAACAATCTGAAATAATAATAAAGAAATATGTTTAGATTTCGTTAAAGTTCATAAAATGAATCGAAACCTAATTAACGGAAGTCGCTCGAAAAATATTCATTGTTAAATATATTTTTTAAAGATGTAAAAAAGCCGAAATATGACTTAAAGTTCTTTTTCTGAAAATTTTTTTTTTAATCTCATTTATTTCTATACAATGAATAATTTCATTCAATCAATAAACATTTTGCTGAGTAAATATGTAGAAGGTAAACTTTGTTGAAAGTCTTTACTCGGACTGAGAAATAATTTTCTAAGATTTCCACTACTCTGCAGAGTAGAACAGAATAACTGTGTACATCTCTATTGCCGAGCAATCTTTACTCTAATGGAAAAAACGAATTTGAAAAGATTTAATAATTTGAAAAAGATTTTCTGAGTTGAAACAATATTGAATTAAAGAATTGGAAAGATTCGTAGAACATGATATATCATCATCATTTATAGATTATTGTTTTCATAATGAGTCGAAGTTAATTCTGTTGTAAAATGGTAAACTATTTAAACAGAGACATAAGTTATATAATAATTTTTTTTATAATTCAACAAAAATAATTTGATGGAAATAAATAAATAATAATCTTAAAGAAGATATCTTTCTATTATCAATGACATTGTCTCGTAGATGAAATCATTCAATTGTCCCGTTAAATATTTACAAATAAAAGTTCTTTATTTGACTATAGACAAAAAATATTTGCCTAAATCAGTCAATCGAAAAAAAGCTTCTTCACTTGTTTATCTTTGTTTCGTGTAGGTATGAACAATAATAATGTGATGTTATGGATCGATAGTTAATCAATCTATTGATTATTATTTATATTCGATTGATAGAATATATATATATTTATATATAAATTATTTTAATTTTAATTAAATAAATCAAACACATAATGAATTAAATCTAATGAAAAAAATCTCTGGTTAAATTGAAATAATATGTTTTAATTTTCTTTTATCATTTCAATTCGATATTAATCATCTCAACTAAATTTAAAATAAAGAAATTCAAAGGAATTATATATCATATAAGTTAAACTCAGTTAAAATCCTTAAATAATCAATATATTTGTTTATTGATAAATGTAAATGAAAATAATCGAATTTATCGTTTATTATCGAAAAAATATCTTAATTAAAAATTATATTAATTAAGTTAAGCTTAACATGATTATCAATTAGATTAATTTATTGGGTTTAGTCCCATTTTATCGATATTTTATTGAAGAATAATTTCGAGAAGATGATTTAAATGAGTGACATAAGAACATTATTGAATAGTTCATAAGATAAGGGAAAATAAATATTATTTTCATTTTTGACCAATTGTGTTATTTTACTAAATTTATTGAAATATTCGTTTACTGAAAAAAAAAACTTTTTTCATCAAATTTAATTAAATCAAGAATTCGTTGATTTGAGTAAATAAATTTCGATTTTGTGAAGGTTTCTTCGTACTGTTTTTAACTTGATTTGATTGTATTTATGAGATAAACACATGGTTTGTCTTTTTTTTTTATTTCATCAATAATCAGATAAAATCTTGGATTGAAAGTGACGATATTTGAATTAAGCCGATGTCTGCGTAATGTAATAATTGTTTTGTTTATTTCTTTTTCTAAAGCAAGATTTCTTCGTTAAACTTGTGATATTGTTCTAAAAGACAAGTATCAATAAGAAAGAATAAAATTTTATCGATGAAACAGAAATATTCCATTTATTATTATAGCTCATATTATGATAAGTGATCAAAATTTATTACATAATCAATCAAAGCAAATTCATCATTTACATGATTTAATAATTATTTAATTACTTTTTGAATCCTGATCGAACATAAAGAAAAGTTGAGAAGATATTTTAAGGTTGATTATTTTATTATTATTTTCTTCATTGATTTAGATTTGTCAAATAATTATTGAAATTCATTTTAGAGAATATTTATTATTTTTATCATTACTTTCTGTGTTCTCTTATGAGATCAAGGCTAGAATATCAAGATTTAATAACTTATTTTTGTGTACTTCTTCATTAGTGATTATCTAAGTTATTTTTTCAATTGAGAAAATGGTAAAAACTAAATAAAGAGTTAATTCATTGTTTTTCTTTGTAAAAACTTGATTAAGTAGTATTAGTGTTGGAATTTGGTTGGTAGGAGAAAAAAATTTATAAAACTAAACATATTCATGAAAAATGATTATCACATATTGAACTCTTCTTCGAAATAATAAAAATAATGATATAGATCAGCATTGCTCATCTCAGAATAGAGTTACACATTCGAATATATCAATGACATAAACAAAAATAAATAATTAAGAGATAAATTTTGCAATATTAACTTATATACTTATCTTATTAACTTATTACAAATTATATTTATCATCGAAAAATAATTATTTGACTAATTAAGAATTATAAAGATAGTTACACTTATTAATATAGAATATACTTAATTAATTAGTTTACACGAGGATTTTGCACATATAATTATTTAAGAGAGCACCCACGAGCCCATTGAGCATGGTGCTAGATATCGAAGCACTCGTCAAAATTTAGTTTTCTGATTTGATATTCTCATCTTATTCAGCATTATCTAAAACCTCTAAATCCANCAGTTGGTACTTTGTGGACTTCGTGGACTCTATCTGTACTTTGAGTACTTCATGGACTCTGAAACTGCCATGAGAGTCCAGGAAGTCCAAGAGTACAGCGTTTTCCTTTGGACTCTCTGTACTCAGAGTCCATGAAAATCCAGTCAGAGTACACGGAGTCCAATCAAAGTCCATGGACTCTGTAGAGTACAAAAGTACGAGAGTACGTCGTTTCCCCCTTGGATTCTACCACATTTGATCGTCGAAAATATTGTACGAATTGAGGTTCAATGTTAAGTGGGACATGTGTTAGTTCGGGAAAATCCGGTTTGTATACAAATTATTATCGTCATCGTGACAGTTGTAATTTTTGTACGCCAGAATATGAAGAAGAAAGACAACAAAAAATGGAAGAGGAGCAAGTTGCTATTCGGCAACATTTTCAAGCTTTGGATGATAGTAAGGATTAGTGATCTTCTCAGTTTACGCATACGCTGCTTATTCCATTACTTTTAGAACAACGACCATGGTCAGAATGGGGACGTAGTGATGCATCTTGCCGACAGCATACTGGGCATGATGTCGACCGAGTACACCAGCTTTATTCTATGTGTGAACAATCACTTATAAACTACTGCTCTTATCGGAATGAGCAACATTGAGACAATACCATCACACGATATTTGTCTCCTATGAATTTGCTGGCAGTTACATTATGGTACTTAAAGCATTATCATTCTGAACCATATATTGCTACAGAAATGAATTCGGCACACCAGACAGTGAGTTATTTCTTATCATCGGTTCTGGATATTTTACATTTCTATGTATATCCGGAGTTAATTTCATTACCAGCTGATATAGCAAACACAAGAACACCACATGGACCTGAACAAAGTCATAAACTAATCGTTGATTCCACTTTTATTGCAGTACCTGAACCTTCTAATTCAGAAGAACGCAAAGCATATTATCATGCAAAAAGTTCAACAAATTATGCATTAAAAGTTCAAATAGCCTGCGATTTTCACCATCGAATTGTCTATGTGTCCGAATGCTATCATGGAAGTGTACACGATATTACAATCTTAAGCGAGTCAGATCTATTAGAACATGTAAATGATTCTGTACAAATTATTGCTGACAAAGGATACATTGGTGAAGAAAATGTAGTTACTCCAAGGAAAAAACTTCATGGACGTGAATTAACAGATGAAAACAAAAGTTTTAATCGCGAGATTAATAGTGCAAGAGCAGCTATTGAAAATATTAATCAACGTCTTAAAACTTATGCTATTGTTGGTGGTATTTATAGAGGAGCTATTCATGACTTTCATAAGGCAACAAAAATTGTACAGTTATTTCTGCTCTATGTAATTTGAACTTAAATAAATATCCGATTCCTGGATAAGCACGGTCAGTTGTATTTTTTGATTAGCTAAGTGATAATTATACTCTAACTATCAATCTTTCGCTTATTTCAACATTCTCAGTAGCAGATAGTGCACAATAACAAATATGATGAGAAGCACATGTAAGACAATGGTTATAAGGACGTACTTAATAACTCTTATTTTCAGGAATATAGATCTCATGTACTGCTAGATCGATAGCATCATATACGAAGTACAAATGGTAAAAAAATCAGGTTTTTTAGAAGGTTATGTAAGTAAGTCTATCATGGGGTATCAGGTGGGCTGGTAACGCGCACTTATTCGATTCAAGTTTTCACACTGCACCTATTGAATATATTTCGAAACATGTGAGGTGATAAAAATAATGAAAAAAGCTAATGTTATGGAAAAATCTCGTGTTTTTCTTTCATATAGAAAATGTGAGTTATTTAACATCTTTTTCAGATTTTTCCAAGCAGTTTTTTGGAATTTTGTATCTTAAAAAGATGGCGTAAAGAAACTCCAATACATAGATTTTTGCAGAGCGCGACGAGCTCTATCGAATCATGTAATAAAATTCGAGAAAAAAAATTTTTACTCCATTTCTGAATTACTGGCATCTTGGTTTTCTATGCCAAAAATGCATGAAATTTCTCAAATTTCTTAATTTCGGCATTACAAAGTTCACAAAGCCCTTACTATTTAGTACCAATAAATCCCATTTTTGACGAGCTTTCATTTGGTATAAAATTCATTATATGCTCTTCCCTGAAATAATATTATTTCCTATGAGGTATCATGCCGGCTGGCAACGCCCATATATTATATTTAGCCTGATCAAGTATAATTAAGAATTAAAATAATCATATTTAATTAAGGATACAAATTTGATGTTCGAATATATGTTGCTGTTACATCATATGATCCACTTGTTGCTTATCTTTATGAAGAAGGTTTAACAAGGTATTATGCATTATATTTTATTTTAAAGTATAATATTTTTTTTTAATTTGAAAAGGTTTGCAACAGTTAAAACAACGAACAACAACATTTAATCAAATGATTCATCAACGTCTTTATCCATCACGATGGACAGCAAGTACATTAAATTCTTCACAAATTCGTCGTACAACTGTTCTACGTTCAAAACATCTTTCATCAGCATTTAATTATGGTGATCAATCAGATAAATATTTAACTACCAAAATAAATGGTTGTGATCTTGATAAAGCTCTTGAAAGATATAGAATTTATGAAAGAAGATTAATTGATATTATTCCTCCACAAACAACAACAACAACGAATGAGAATTCAAAAATAAATGATAAATCTTCAAAATGTGAAAATTGTTGTTGAAACAATTGAACAAAATTCATCAGAACCATTAAATATCCATCGGAGAAAATGGAATTTGTCTCGGAAAAAATGAGGAAATGATCTCGGAGTGCTTAATTAGTCCCAAAAAATGATGAAATTGATCCCGTTTTTTCCGAGTTCAAATTATGAGAAAATGATCTCGGAAAAAACTCATTAACGTTGAATCAGCGTGATTGGAGGAAAAGATCTCGGTTTATTCTACATAAAGGGTGTTCATTAAGTTTTGATCCGTTTTATGAATAAATTTATTGATTAAACGGGTCAAAACTTAGAAAACACCCTTTATATGCGCGTATGATTACATAGAGACTAATGTATACAGTGAATAGAAAGAATGAACAGAAAAGTTCAAATGATTCAACTGATGATATGATGTATGGTGACGGACGAATGGGTGAGTAGCATCATGTACAAAGCCTCTTTTAATTCTGTACAATATACTATACGCATAAGTATCGTCTGAAATAACATGTGATCACCAATATTCTGTTCGTGTAGATATAATCGGAAGCAATATTCGTGTATTCATTCAACAGGTCTTATGATGATCTGGGAAATTCGAACAACTCCACAGTTAATTGGAAAAAGAAATGGCAAAGGACAAAGAAAAAAGGTTAAATACTCATTGTCGAAGGACTGATTTTTATATTTTTTATTGGATATTAATAAATATAAAATCATTGTATTTCGTTATCATACTGTACTTTGTTTATTAGTAAACAGTTAAACTAGGATACTACATTTCCATTTTCTCTTTTACATATCGAATCGAGATCTTTTCCTCTAATTTTGTTGATTCAACGTTAATGAGTTTTTTCCAAGATCATTTCCTCATAATTTGTACTGGAAAAAAAACTAGATCAATTTCATGATTTTTTGGACTAATTAAGCACACCGAGATCAATTCCCGTATTTTTTCCGAGATCATTTCAGCGTTGTCCATATTCATCGATCAACACCAGCACCAATTCATCACTTGACATCAAAACAACAAGATAAAAGGAAATCAACATCAAAACGTTTAGCAACTGTTGCACAATTAGTAAAACAACAACAATTAAGTATAAATTCAGCACCAGGAGAAAGAAGACATTCAATTTAGTGCAAAAAATGATATTATTCAAATGCTTGATCAAGGTTTTACATTAAGGTTAGTACTACCATTCTTATTTTATCGACATTATTATTAGAAATTCAATATTATTTTAAGAGAATCGATTATCTATCAATTAACACAAATAAATTCAACTCTTTTTATAGTTTTTCTATAATGATAAAAATTTGAGTTATATCATAAATAAATAAATATCGATTAATTCAAAAATTTGAAAAAAATTTTAGCTAAATATAATGAATATTTGTTTTTGTTTTTTTCTGTATAATTAAAGTCCACTCCATGCTCGTACAGCATTTTTAACATATTTACAACGAATTCAAATACGTTTAATGCTTGATTCAGAATTAAAAGAAGATGTTACATCAAGTCAATATATGGAATTAATAATAAGATTTTTAAAACGAACTGGACAAAATCTTTCACCAGCATTTCATGTTGAAATTCTCTCACATCGTTTATCACAATCTAATCAAAAACGAATATTGGTTAAAGAATTATGTGATTTTCTTCATTTATATAATAAAGAAACATTATCATTATATCAAAATCAATTAAATTCAACAAATCAAATTGATAATCCTTTATTTGATAATTTTCTTCGTTCAGCATCTGAAGCTGATCTTGAACAAATGATGACAGCTTATATGAAAAATAATAAACAATCAGCTATTCATTTAGGTGTTAATCCAAAAATTGCCAAACATAATTCAACGAATATAAATAGTCAAAGTTCACATATAGGAGCTGATTCTCAAGCTCAAACAATTTTACCTAAACTATCAATTGAAGATAAAGCAATAACATTTATTCAAACAATATCATCAAATGAACAATCAAATCAAAAATGAGCTACATTAACAACACAATATGATTCACAAAAACGTTTATTAAAAGCATCAAAACAAAGAAATAATAAAAAAAAACAAGATGAAATTTATAAACTTTATGTTGTTTCAAGACCTCTTTCAACTGTTGTTCAACATAGAAAATGTATGTCTTTCTAACTTAATCAATAGATCTGTTATTGACAATATATATATTGAGATATGATCAAATAAATATCTTAGTTGTTTTGTTAAGATTATTTTAAATAAATTAATTCCTAGAATTACCATCAACACAAACATCAGTACCAACAACGAAGTTATTAATTTGAGAACGACCCAATTCAGCTAATGTTACTGGCGAACAAGGTTTTAAGATTTTATTTTAAATATTATTCTGTTATTAATGCGGTGCGAAGCACAGCATTTATGTAGTCCTTCGCGAGTTTTTTTTAATGCGGTGCGAAGCACAGCATTTATGTAGTCCTTCGCGAGTTTTTAATGCGGTGAGAAGCACAGCATTTATGTAGTCCTTCGCGAGTTTACTTTTCTTTTTAATGCGGTGCGAAGCACAGCATTTATGTAGTCCTTCGCGAGTTTTCTTTTTTCCTTACTTACTTGACGTACGCATCGAAAGTAACCGTTTTGTGACGCGATGATCTCAAGAACGGAAAATCAGAAAAAAATCGTTGAAGCGCGACATGAAAGTATCGAGATCGAACCGGCAACATCCATTTTCTGATTTTCACTAGAAGGGGTGGGTGGATTACAAATAATTTAGGAAAAAGACGAATTTGAAAGATGTTATATTCGAGATAATTAAAATGAAAAGAAAAAGAAAAGTTAGGCGCCACTCTCTTTCTTCATATGCGAGACAGCTGTGAATACAGCTGATTATACATAATGAATCACTTAGATAATTAAANTAAAAAAATTTCTCCTTAATTCCCCTAATGCAACGATAATTAAACGGAAATTGGTTCTGTTTTTGTCCACACTCTGATTGATCCACAATTCGTGCTCTATCTTTCGATCACAGAGATGGTACTTCGAGGTTTTCTGAGCGGAGAATTCGAATCTGTACTCCACTTGTCTCGAAATACCATTGGTTGAGCAGGGACCAATAGAAATCAAGTTACAGGAAAAAGGACTTTCTTAGGGTAATTCAATGCGAAGAGTTCAAATCTGAGCTGTATTCGGCCCTAAATCCTATTGGTTGAGCAGTAGCCAATAGAATTCATGTGTTTATAGAAAATGTTTGCGAGGATAATTTTGATGTCCACACGTTCTATGATGCATAGATGTCCATGGCGGTGCAGCAGCGGTAGATTTTTAAAAAGACCATAGCGGTATCGGCGCGGCAGCAGCCACTTATTTTTTTTTACCGTCGCGGTGCGGCGCGGCAGTGGTTGACGTTTTGAAAAAAATTGTTAATTTTTTCCTGTGATTATCTATAACAGTTTAGATTATAGTTTCATTATGATTCAAATTAGAACGAATTTTTAGCCTCAATCAAGAGATCTCAATTCTTCTTTCATCGTGTAAAAGAAAATACAAGTACCAGCATAGTATAGTTATATGGTGATCTTATTTGAGAGCATGCCTATAAAGTTTCTAAGATACTTATTCTAAATTATTATGATTTTTATACTTATCAATTGGTCCTATTTTCGTGTAATATAATAATTTTCATAGTGTGAACATTTCTCACTAATGAAAACTAACTTATTATTAACTTTTGGTCAAGTGAATTGGCATCTTCGGAATTTTGTTTTTTGAAAAATCTTTTCCGAAAGCTTTTTCGATACTTGCTACATCTTTAAAAACCGAAAAAGTTTTTAGTTACAATGGGATTGTATTAAACAATAGAGGATAGAAACTATTACCTGATCAAGTGAATTATAGTATGCCAGTTATCAGAAGAACTCGATAAATTTTAGAAAACGCAAAATAAACTCATTCAACGTGCAAATGATTACTTTCTTGTAGAAGATTTTTATATAAAATTAATTCTTAAAAATATGAAATATACCAAAAATAGTTGAATCGATTCTTCGGAGTCTTTTTTTGTAACAGATATGAATTCCGTTTTTGTATTAATAACAGGCAAAATATTTTCTTGGAACTCATACATATTGAAGTAATAAATTTTAGTATTCTAGATCATGATATCGCATTCTATTTCATTTCGATTCTTGACACTATATAATCTCGTACTGAGTATAAGTTTCAATAATTTCTAGCTCTTTCTACTGCGAAGTATCCTTTATGTGAGTGAACAATGAATCTCTTATTTGGTCTGCATCATTTTTTTTTTCTATATAATTAAAAATCTTGTGATTTCAAACGGTTTTGATTATTCAATCTGTGCTTATTATTCGACTGAAGCTTTAATAAATTCGTAATTGGAAGCGGCTTCATCATCTATCACTTGTATAATACATACGGATATTTTTAAATAAGAGGACAGCAGACAATGAACGCAAGTACTTCCAAGTACTTTCTTCATTTCGCCGTAGTATTCTTTCATTTTTCCACAGATGTAGAATCATAAGACTTTCTACACGTAACATCGGCGACTACAAATCGGCACACTTAACTTTTTGATAAAGATGCCTCATAGAGAAAACTAGAAAGCACTTTAAGCAATCGCCCGCTCTTATAAAACAATCGTTGAAATATTAAATATTTTTGTTTTTTGTCAAAAGAACATTTTCATCTAATGATTAAGTGTACTGTGTTTTAAATGTTGGCGTTTCGCAAAAAAAAAAACAAGTCCTATGATTCTATGTCTGCCAAAGCATGAAATAATTCCAAGGCGAAAATACTCACTGTTAGAGTTAAAATAGCTTATAACCATTTCAACCATTTTAACCATTTTAACTCAATCGGTTGAATCGATTCATAACTGATTCAACCAGTTTCAATTCTAACAGTGAAAATAATAAAGTATCTACATTTAGTGTCTGAAAGACAGAACGTTCTAAAGACTATCCTATTCATAACGTTGCGGCAGCGGTGCAACACCAAATTGTAAAACGCATGGCGACGCAGCAGCGGGATATTTTCAGCCGCGATGGAGATCTCTGCCAGGATGACTAATCTGTCTAATTCACTTTTTTAAGTACACATAACTCTCAGATTTAAATCCGAGATTTTCACATTTATTTAACTACATTAAGAGAGATAACATATAGGATAAATTTTGTTTATTGTTTTTCTTATTCAATAGAATAAAAATCTCAAGAGTAATGAATAGATTTTAAAAAAATGAATTGAGAAATTATTATTTTTTTAAATAAAAAAAGATTGTTAATTATTTAATATATTTATATTTTCAAAGTCCACTTCAAGCTCGTACAGCATTTGGAACATATTTACAACGAATTCAATTTCGTTTAATGCTTGATTCTGAATTAAAAGAAGATGTTACATCAAGTCAACATATGGAATTAGTAATTAGATTTTTAAAAAGAGCTGGACAAAATCTTTCACCACCATTTCGTGTTGAAATTCCATCACGTCGACTTTGCCAATCTGATCAAAAACGAATATTAGCTAAAGAATTATGTGATTTTCTTCATTTATATAATAAAGAAACCGTATCACAATATCAAAATCAATTATTTTCAACAATACAAATTGATAATCGTTTATTTGAAAATTTTCTTCGTTCAGCATCAGAATCTGATCTTGAACAAATGATGACAACATATATGAAAAATAATAAAAATTCAGCTATTCATTTGGGTGTTAATCCAAAAATAATTAAATTAAATTCAACAAATCAAAATCAAAATCAACAAGGTTCAGATATAGGAGCTGATCAACAAGCTCAAACTATTTTACCTAAACAATCTATTGAAGATAAAACAATAACATTTATTCAAACAATATCATCAAATGAACAATCAAATCAAAAATGGGCAACATTAACTACACAAAATGATCCACAAAAACGTTTATTAAGAGCATCAAGTGCATCAAGACAAAGAACTTCTCAAAAAAAACAAGATGACATTTATAAACTTTATGGAGTTTCAAGACCTCTTTCAGCTGTTGTTCAACATAGAAAACGTAAGTTTTTTTCTTTTTCTTTTTCTTTTTATAAATTATATACTAAAAATATATTCTCGTTTTGTTTTTCTTTTTTAACAATTTCCAAAATAAGATTAACTTAATTAAAAAAGCCAAAGAGATCTCTTTAATTGAATATATTCATAGTCTAATAAAATAAATAATAAGAAAAATATTCTCGATTTAAAACATAATTAACTAATCAGATTTTAACAATCAGAAATAAAACTTAAATATTTATTTAAAAAAAAAACCACAAACAAAACAAGAATAAATAGATTATTTAATATAATTTAATTAATATTAATATTAATATTTTTTATAATTAAAAAAAATGAATATATAATATCGATGTATATATATGTTTGTTGGATAGATATTAATTCTATTTGAAATGATGAAAACATAAATTTAAATAAATATATGAATGATCTTTAAATAAATAAGTTAATAATAAATAATTTTTTAAATAATAATAGAATTGCCATCAACAGGATCATCTGTGCCTCCTACTAAATTATTAATTCGAGAACGACCAAATTCAGCAAATGTTACAGGCGAACAAGGTGAACTTTTTTATTTAAATATTTTATATTTTCTATCTCAAATTTATTTTTTTTACTTTTTTTTGTTGTTAGAAGAAAAAAGAGATTTTGTTGAACAATTAAATGAATTATCACTAAAACAACATCATCGACAATATTCTGGTAAGAAATTTATCTTTTAATTATTATTTTTAAAGAAAAAAAAAACCAAAATAAAATATATTATTTTTTTTGTTTTTATTTGTTAAAAGGTCTTCATCGTTTGAATGTATTTCATAGTCGTTCATCATCAGTTGAACCTCAACAACAAACAAATGTAACAATTATTAATGATTGTGAAAATCTATCTGAAACAAGTAAAGAAGAAGAAATTCTTGAAAAAAGTCGACAAATGCTTGAAGAAAGTAAAGTTAAAAATGAACAATTAGCTGAACAAGTTCGTTTATCTTTTATTTAAAATATTATCTTTAAATAATAAATTATTTTATATATTAAGGCTAAAGTATTTCAACGAACATTACAAAGAAATGAAATATATTCTGCATTAAATCGTTTTTCAACTCGTCCACCTATTTATCCAACTGTTGTTAAAGAAACACGAAATTCTTCAAATAGATTTCAACAATTAAAGTTTACTTTTTTCTTTTGTTTTTATTATTTAACTTAATTTTTTTTATTTTTATTTTATAGAATAAATCCAACAGTATCATTAATAAATGATCAACATCGAGTTAAATCAGCTAATTCTTCACAAGATTAGATTTTATTTCAATCATTTAGTTTATTGTGCTTTCTTTCTATTGCACTTTGTTTTTTTTTTAAATTTGCACTTTCTTCTATTTATTTTTTCTTTTTTTTTGTTTTTTTTTCTTGTGTAAATAATTTTCAATTTTCTATCGGATATTCATAAAAAGGCAGAGCCATCTTTCATTTTATTTATCAAATAAAGAGAAGATGACAGTCGTCTTTTTTATTGCACCAACTAAATGTAGAACGAAAGAAAAAAAAAAACTGCCTTGTTTTTATTGGTTTTTTTTTTTTTGTCAATATATAAATAATAAATATGAATTGATGAGAAAGAAAAGAGAAAAAGAAAAAGAAAAAGAAAAAGAAAAAGAAAAACTAATATTTTTTTTAACGATTAGATGAATAATCAAGTAAAACATTCTATGATTGGATTTTCTCTTCATATTATCTATTATAAATGTGTCGATTTATTGAATAAGATTGTTTGTCGTCAACATATAAAATAAGGAAAAAAAAAAAGTGCTCTAGAGATACATATATATATATATTTGCTTGACTGAATGAATCCATTAAGATTGAATAAGATATTTATTGAAGTGTAAATCATGTTTAGTTGTATTTTTGTTTGATTTTTATTTTTAGATAGGAAATTAACGAAACAAATAAGAATATCGAAAACTAAAATGAGTGCAGATTCAAATAGTGGAAAAGATAAAGAAAAAATTTTTCCATCATTTACGGAACTTCGTATTTATCCATCATTTACGGAAATTCGAGAAAAATTCAATGCACCACAAGTAAGACAAACGTTTTAAATTGAAAGAAAAATATTTTTTTTAATTTTATTAATATTAATATTTATTTAAAAAAGAATTTTAAAATGTATTTTCCACGTGAAGTATATGATCAAATTGTAAATGGAAGTCTTAATGTTGAAGGAATTCAAGTAAATAGTCAAAATAGTGTAACAAAAGCAAATAATTTAGAAAATCAAACTGTTTTTATTCGTCGTCCACGTGAAGAACCAATTGAATGTTTAGTTATTAGACCAAATGATTTATTATTAAAAGACGTTAAAACAGGTCGATATATTCGTGCTCAACATCATGAACTTGAATATGTTCATATTCCTGAAGAAGAAGGTCAAGAAGTTACTTTTGCTTTAAAACAAGCTGGAGAAGCAACACTTTCATATCTTATTCATGGTAAGAAGTTTTTTTTTAGTTATTATTTATTTATTGTTTTAATAAAAGGCATAACATGGTCACCTCGTTATAATTTAAAAGTTGAATCTGATGGTCATCAATTTGAAGCTTGGGCTGATATGACAAATAATACCAAACGAGATTATAAAATAAAACGTACTGAATTATTTGGTGGTGATGTTAATCTTCAAGAATCTGGAAATTTTTCTCGTGATTATGCAAGTCGTTGTTGTTATGAAACATGTTGTTGTCCTCCTTCACCATCAGCAGCTCCAAAAATTGAATCGGAAGGAGAATTAGCAGGTATTTATTGGTATTCAATTGATCAACCATTTGTTCTTATTCAACAATCAACATTTTCACTTCCTTTTGTTAAACCAAATATAAAATTAGAAAAATATGCAGGTTTACAATATCATTTTCAAGAAAGAACAGAAAAAGGAAAATTTCAAAGAAAATATCGAATTGAATCGGATAAATTTTTACCTAAAGGTACAGTTACAATTCGAGAAGATGGAAGAGTTGTTGGACAATCACATTTATGTGATATTTCTCAAGGTGAAAAACAAGATTTAGATTGTGGAAATGATCCAGATATTAGTTTTACACGTGATGTTAAAATATTATCACAAAAACGTGATTCAGCTTTATATTTAATTCGTTTAACAATTAAAAATTGTAAAACAAAACAAATTAAATATGAATATAAAGAAATAATATCTTCAGCAAAATTTACAATAACTCCTAAAAATGATAATGAACAATTAAATAATAAAATTCAATTAATTGATGAAGGTTTTCAAATTCTCAATGAAGAATTAAAAGCTAATGATGAATTAAATTTTCAATATGAAATTTTACTTGAATATAGAAATAATCAAGATCAATGTCCAACACTTTATCAAAATGATCCTAATTGAACCTTTTTTATTTTATTTTATTATATATTATCATTATTAGAATATTCAATAGATATTTACACTTTATATTTAGAATACTAATCAATTTCATTTTATCCTATGCTTCATGTCATAACGCATTTCTTTTGTTTTTGTTTTTTATTTTTGTTCAATAAAAATTCTTAATATCGATTCGACGAACAATATTAATTTTTCATTTTATTATCGATATATATTTTACTTTTTTTTCAAAAGAATATTAATCATATTCGAATCAATTAATAACTATTACTTTTAAACAAACAAATTAATTAAATTTTATTTTTTTCATATGATGAATATTTTTGAAATATAATCAATCAATCATTTATTTATTTACAGAATATGTTACAAATTGTTCTATACAATTCTCAAACTATCATTAGAAAAATCTACTTAAACTCAATGAACATATTTAAAATGATAAAATGAAAAACAATAAAAGTAAATAAATAAAATAAATGACTTGTCATTGTCATTGTGATTGTGATTGTGATTATCTAACATATTTTGTAAATAGATAATTTATTTATTATTTGAATTGATACATTATATTGATAGATGAAATTATGACAATTTGTTTTTTGTTTTTTGTTTTTTGTTTTTTGTTTAATAATAAAAATTATTAAATTTATAATATTAATTAAATGCGTTGAATGTAAACATAAATATTATTTTTATTATTTAGAAAATAAATAAAATATTTGTTTTTCTTTTATTGAACATATTTTAAATAGGATAATTTTAAATACGAATGATCTTTTAAATATTATCAATGAATATTTTTCTCTTAACATTTATTTAACAAAATAAATAAATAAATATAAATAAATTGAAAAAAAAAATATAATTTTTAAATTAAACAGGAAAGAGAAAAAAAAGAGAATTATTTTCTCTAATAACTCAATGAATAGAGATTATTATTTTCTCATGTAAATGATTATTGTGTTTTACATTATATTTAATAGAAAACAAAAAACAATCGAATAATATTGATGGACTCGATAAATATCTATTGAAGAAAACAAAATTATTCAATAAATATAATTATATCTAGGAAAATAATAACAAAAATAATAGAGATTATTTTAGAAAACGAAATATTTTTCTTTATCATTATACACACACACACACACATATATTGACGAGTTTTTCTTAATATTAATTTAAATTAATATTAAAATTGGTTAATTCTATTTTTTCTATTGTTTCTGTTTTGTTCTAACAACAATCGAAGGTTGTGTATTATAAGTTAATGAGATTAATTAGATATTTAAATTGTATTAATGTTTTTTTTATAAAAGTAATTATTTTAANAGAAAATGTATGTCTTTCTAACTTAATCAATAGATCTGTTATTGACAATATATATATTGAGATATGATCAAATAAATATCTTAGTTGTTTTGTTAAGATTATTTTAAATAAATTAATTCCTAGAATTACCATCAACACAAACATCAGTACCAACAACGAAGTTATTAATTTGAGAACGACCCAATTCAGCTAATGTTACTGGCGAACAAGATTTTAAGATTTTATTTTAAATATTATTCTATTATTTTTTTTTAAATATTTTCCGTTCTTAGAAGAAAAATGAGATTTTGTTGAAAAATTAAATGAATTATCACTAAAACAACATCATCGACAATATTCTGGTAATAAATAAATAAATAATAATCGAACTAATATTTATATCTTAAAAAAGGTCTTCATCGTTTAAATGTCTTTCATAGTCGTTCATCATCAGTTGAACCTCAACAACAAACAAATGTAACTGTTATAAATGATTGTGAAAATTTATTTGAAACAAGTAAAGAAGAAGATATTCTTGAAAAAAGTCGACAAATGCTTGAAGAAAATTAAGTTAAAAATGAACAATTAGCTGAACAAGTTTGTTCTCTTATTTATATTAAGACAAAAGTATTTCAACAAAAATTACAAAGAAGTAAAATATATTCAGCATTAAATCGTTTTTCAAATCGTCCACCTATTTATCCAACTGTTGTTAAAGAAGCACGAACATCTTCAAATAGATTTCAACATTTCTTCTTTTTTTATTTAAATATATATCGATGTTATTCTAGAATAACTCCGACAGTATCATTAATAAATGATCAACATCGAATTAAATTAGGTAGTTCTTCACAAGATTAGATTTTATTTGAATAATTTAGTTTATTTTCATATCTTTCTATCACACTTACTTTTTCTTTTTTTTCTTAAATTTTCACATTCGTCTATTTATTTTCTTCTTTGTTGTTTTTTTTGTGTAAATAGTTTTCAATTTTCTATGCGATATTCATCAAAGGTAGAGTCATCTTTCATTTTATTTATCAAATATAAACAAATAACAAATGACAGTTGGACTTTTTTTATTGCGCCAACTAAATATAGAAAGAGAGAAAAAAAATATAGCCTTGTTTTTATTGTTTTTTCTTTTTTGTCAATATACAAATAATAAATATGAATCTGATGGGAAAGCAAAAATGCTAATATTTTTTTTACGACTAGATGAATAATCAAGTAAAACATTTGTTTGATTACATTTTCTCTTATTATTGTTAATAATAATAAACGTCTCTAGTTATAGGATAAGATTGTTTTTATTCAATATATAAAACAAAGGAAAGGAAAGAGTCGAAGAATATATCTGGTTGAGTAAATGAATCAATCATGATTGAGTAATATATTAATCGATGTGTAAATTGATGTTTAGTTCCATATTTATTTCTAGATATTAGCCAAACGATACAAATAATAAAATTCGAAACATAAAAATAATGAGTGCAGATTCAAATAGTGTCAAAAAGATAGAAAAAATATTTCCATCCTTTACTGAATTTCGTATTTATCCATCATTCATTGCAATTCGAGAAAAATTCAATGCATCACAAGTGAGAGAAACATTTTTTAAAATAATAATTATAAACTAGATCATTTTTTTCATTTTTTCTAAGAATTTTAAAATGTATTTTCGACGTGAAGTCCATGATCAAATTGTAAATTGAAGTCTTTGTGTTGAAGGAATTCCAGTAAATCGTCATAATAGTGTAACTAAAGCAAATAATTTAGAAAATCTAACTGTTTTTCTTCGTCGTCCACGTGAAGAACCAATTGAATGTTTAGTTATTCGACCAAATGATTTATTATTAAAAGATGTTAAAACAGGTCGATTTATTCATGCTCAGCACGATGAACTTGAATATGTTCATATTCCTGAAGAAGAAGATCAAGAAGTTACTTTTGCTTTAAAACAACCTGGAGAAGCAACACTTTCATATCTTATTCATGGTAATAAACATTTTGTCCTTTAAATAAAATAAAATAAATTTATTTAATAGGAATAAGATGGTCACCTCGTTATAATTTAATAGTTGAATCTGATGATCATCAATTTGAAGCTTGGGCTGATATGACAAATAATACTAAACGAGGTTATAAAATAAAATATACAGAATTATTTCGTGGTGATGTTAATCTCCAAATTCATTTCAGAATTCCGTTGTCTTGAAGAATGTTGTTGTTCATCTGCATCACAATCAACTCCAACAATTGAATCTGAAGGGGAATTAGCTGGTATTTATTGGTATTCAATTGATCAACCATTTCTTCTTGTTCAATAATCAACATTTTCACTACCTTTTGTTAAACCAAATATTAAATTAGAAAAATATTCAGGTTTACAATATTATTTTCAAGAAAGAACAGAAAAAGGAAAATTTCAAAGAAAATACAGAATTGAATCTGATAAATTTTTACCTAAAGGTACAGTTACTATTCGTGAAGATGGAAGAGTTGTTGGATAATCACATTTATGTGATATATCACAAGGTGAAAAACAGGATTTAGATGGTGGAAATGATCCAGATGTTAAATATACACGTGGTGTTAAAATTTTATCACAAAAACATGATTTAGCTTTATATTTAATTAATTTAACAATTCAAAATTCAAAAACACAACCAATTAAATATGAATATAAAGAAATAATATCTTCAGTTAAATTTGCAATAACTCCAAAAAATAATAATGAACAATTAAAAGCTAATCATGAACAAATTTTTCAATATGAAGTTTTACTTGAATATAAAAATAATCAAGAACAATGTCCAACTGTTTATCAAAATGATTAGAATTTTCTTTTTTTCATTTTCTTTTTCTTTTTTTAACATTATTATTATTCGAATATTCAACAGATTTATTTAGTTTTACTTAGAATACTAATTATTTGTATTTTACTCTATCCTCCATTTCATTACGCATATTATTTTTATTTTCTTCAATAAAACTTCTTTATTATTCAATCGACGAACAATATTTATTTTTTTCTCATTATCAATAGATATTCTATTACTTTGAAAACAATATTAATCATATTCGAATCAATTAATAAGTATAACTCTCAAACCAACAAATTAATTAAATGTAATTTATCCATATGGTGCATCGATCGAAATAATCAATCATTTATCTATTTACAGTATATGCTAAATAGTGACAAATTAACAATGGAGCACTATTTATTCATAGTGTTTCATAATTGTTCTATAGAATTTGCCGACTACCCTTAGAAAAATCTATTAGAACTTGATGAGCATCTATAAAATGATCATGAAAAAACAAAAACAAAAATAAATCGTATTGAACAATTGACTTGTGTTTATCTAGCATATTTTGTAAAACGATAACTGATTGATTATTTCAATCGGCGTACGATATAGATAGATTACATTGCTAATTTGCTTGTTTGTTTGATAATAGCATTTATTAAAAAGATAAAATTTTTATTTAATAAAACTAAAGAACATACAGCGGTGGCAAAAAATTCTGGGACACTCAAGAATGGCTTCCCAAAATTTTATATTTTATTCGAATTAAATGATCCTGTCGGATAAGGTGACAAATTCAGAATTGAGAAAAACCAAATATAGCATCTTGTAGAGAATTTCAAGGCGCATCGAATGTTATATAGTAAGTCTATTTTCTAAAACGTCTAGGTGGAGTTATGACCAATTTACTAATGAAGATAATTTTGGGAAGTCATTCTTGAGTGTCCCAGAAGTTTTTGTCACCACTGTATTTATAATATTAATTGAATGGATTGAATGTAAACATAGATATTATTGTTGTTCAGAAAATAAATAACATATATTATCGATAAATTCTTTTATGAGTTTTCATGGAACAATTTCCAAATGATATGATTTAATACCAAGAATATTTTAAATATTATCCATGAACACTTTTCTCTTACAGTTATTTTATAATTAAAATAAAACAAATTAAAATAAAATATACTTCTAAAATTAAAGAAGAGAATTATTTTCGAGAATAACTCAATGAATAGATTATAATCAATTAAATATTACATAGGACACTAAAAATTTTTTTTCATCTGGCTTTCTTAAAAGACGTATTTTGAACGAAACAATTCTAACATAATGCTTAGACATATTTAGGATCATCTGCAAAATTTCAGCTTTAGAAGAAGTCTTAACTTTCATTGTATTTTTGCATTTCTTTCAGACTAGGGTAAGTGTATTTTCTACATTAACTTTGAATTCTTATGGAAACACTTTCGAAGTATGATTTTACATGGCTAGTAAATTAACTTAACTTACAAGGAAAGCCGTGTCCATTTAATATGAGCATGTAGAGACTTAGTACTTTTAGATTGTATATTAATCAATTTGTTTTATTAATTTCGGCAGAGTAATTTCAGCATCGAAGATGCAGCCCTATCAGATCACTCTCAGGCTACTGTAATCGAAGATACTTTTTATACCGTGTCGGCAATAATTGACGATGATTCTAATTGAACATACCAATGGATAGTAGATACTCGGAGCAACATTGACACATCAATTATTTCAATTAATCTGATCTGTTTAAAGTTTTACAAAGTTTTGTGTTTGACAGATGCATTATCAGCCTATTGATGACTGAAGGTAGTTCCATGTTCAATTGTACCGTCATTTACCAAAGAAATTTGAAGGGACTAATTTCATTTTGTATTCTGCATTATCAATAGTGACAGGACTCATCGAAACAACAGGATAGATCAGCGAATTACGCTGATTTTCTTTACAAAATCAAGTTTAACTAACTCCATCCCATTAGGATCTAATAAACGAAAGTTAGCCTACTAATAACTGCCTAACATATGTTTTCAAAACTGCACAATAACTCAATACGAAGCCAATCTTTGAAGTCTCAGTTTTCACTATGAAAATGTGAGCTCACAGGGAGTCTGAGTTACAAAAGAATTTTGAGCAGAAAATCATATCCAAATTCAACATAACCTTCAGATCTAAACTCGTTTCACTTCCAAAATTCAAATACGAACTAGATGCAGTTGAATTCAATGACAAAAACACAATGCTACATGTGTTACCACCAGTCATTATCCTCCTCACCAAAAACAATCTCAAAAACCGCTTCTATGATCTAGTTTAATCGAACACACAAGTGTATTGTTGCTGATGGGTGATACCTTGAAAAATTACACTAGAACCAGCCTTTGGATATTTGTCTAAAGGGCTGGTGGAAAAAATTTTGTAGTGCCCCATCTATATTAATTTACTAAAATTCTCTCATACAAACGACTCTGTCTCACATTATATTCAATAGGAAAAAAAGAAAAAACAAACAAACAAACAAACAAACAATCGGATAATATTGATGGGCTCGATAAATAACTTTTCGAGAAAACAACCTATAGAATAAATATATATTTCTATGATAATAATAGGAAAACAAACTAAGTAGTAAAGATAAACTAATTTATTGAAAATAATAACAAAAATAATAGAGATTATTTGAGAAAAATACATATTTAACATAATCAAATAAATATTTTTCTTCATCATTAGACATATATTGACGACTTTTTTCGAACTTTTATTTTAGTTAATATAAAGATTTGTTCATTTTATTTTTCAAGTTTTTTTTTTCTAACAATCGAAGGTCGTGTACTGTAAATTAATGAGATTAATCATATTTAGATCGAATCAATGTTTTCACTGTCAAACTAATTATTTTAAAATATGAGACGCTCTTTGTGAACACAGACCGATATATTTCAATTAAAATGAATTTATCTTTTATGTCATGTGGCTACATCTCAACATTATAATAGCATTGATTGCTAGTTTTTTTCGTCATCAATCAATAAAACTCGACGATTTACATAACAAAAAACAAAATGACACATAGTCAAAATCAGTTTTACAAAAAAATTGCAAAATATCATTTTTGATAACAGACACTAAATTCTGATCGTAGTAAAACTGCTTTTGAATATGTGCCATTTTGGTTTTGTTATGTAAGTCACTGACGAGGGAACATTCCCAACTGTCAGATGGCTTTTGAGTCGAGCGTATGCGCATCATGTAGGTTCCAATGATGTATGAATACTCTGAAAAAAGTTCGTGCCCTTAGCTTATTACTGCTGAGATATTGCATTTTTACTGTAGGTTCAAGCAAAAAGTCGTGGTCCCCCTCAGGATCACTAGAAAAACTAAGTTTCGAATTTCGACTTGAAATTTTGCATAGAGACAGGTCTCATTTAAAGTAGTTATTATGACAGTTTCAGATCTTTTGATTACTCCTAGTCTAAAATAAGAACATCGAAATCTGCTGATGTATATGAGCGATTTTATCATAGCTGTATCTTAGAAGACGAACGAAGAAAAGATCTGATACTTTCACAATAAACTATTTTCAATGAGACCTGTCTCTGTGCAAAATTTCAAGTCGAAATTCGAAATTCAGTATTTCTAGTGTTGCTGAGGGGGACCACGGCTTTTTGCTTCAACATACAGTAAAAATGCAATATCTCGGCAGTAATAAGCTATGGGCACGAACTTTTTTCAGAGTATTCATACATCATTAGAGCCTACATGATGCGCATAAGCTCGTCTCAAATGCGATGTGACAGTTGGAAATGTTCCCTCGTGAGCTCTATTCCATTATGACGAAAAAACTAAAACTCAATTCTATTATAATGTTAAGATCTAGACACATGACATAAAAGGTAAATTAATTTGAATTCAAATATATCGGTCTGTGTCCACAAAGAGTCTTTCATATTTTAAAATAGTTACTTTGATAGTAAAAGCATTGATTTAACCCGAATATGATTAATATCTTTATCTTACAGTACACATACTTCTATATTAAGTTTATTGACAATGTTCGAATTAAAATATTGTTTATTTTTCGTTTTGTTTTTATTAAAAAATAAAATAAAAATTGATATGATTATTGTTTTAAACGTGTCTGTATTTCAATGAACCTAATTTTATCTCTTAGCATGTGACAAAGTAGGGCTCATCCGACTGAGTCTCTGATCCTTTTCTGAAAGAAAAAAAAAAAGAAGATTTTGAAATATTTAGTTTTTAATATATTCATATATTTCTTGTAGAAAAGAACTGAAAAGGTGCTTCTGCCATCGAATAATATGTCGAAATATTTTATTTAAATAATCGTTTGCCCTATTTAATGATAGACGTTGTAACTTAATAAATCTTTCTTCGTTCAGTCATAAAATCATGTGTTTTGATAGTTAATCTTCGGTTAAGAACTTTTGTACAAGTCAATCATGTTCACAATCTCATTAAGTGTCCTGATTTTTTCAACAGATTACATTTAGAACAAAGAAATGCTATTGAATGAAGATTGATCCAACTCTTTTAAAAACCATCAAAAAGTTAATTAATATTTAATAATTAATATCATTGTAAGGAGAGAATTAGTGACGCATCCACTTTGTAGGCCTCTCTTGTTTCAATTTTGAAAAATCACTCAATAAAAGTAAGAATACTGACTATTCAACTTTTATATTGATAAGATGAAAACACTCAAAACGAGATCTCATATATCTATAATATTAACTGTAATATTTCATCAAAATGTAGTTTTTCCTCAAGTTTCCATACGAACAATAATTTTATATAGGCGACACCTCTCAAATGACATCATACCGACAAACATTTACCTTATGATCACTAAAGTCTTTCTCTTTACAAGAATCAATCAAGAATCAGTTACCATATTCATATTCCATTTTCTCTCCACATTACCAATCCCACTACGAATACCTTTGTATTCCAATAGTAAAATTTTAGTATGA